CGCTCGCCTACCCGCGGAAGGGCATGGCTCCCGCCTCGGCGTGTGCAGGCAGAGGGTCACCGGGAGCCATCAGCCGTCCTGGGACAGCTTTGACACCAACAGGGGCTGGAGGTGACCGCCGGGCGCGGAGCTGCGTGAGCCCTGCTGCAGCGGGGAAAGGCGCCGTGGCCGCAGGCTGGTTCGGCTTTAAGCCAAACTAAGGGGTGGTTTTATCCTTCCCGGTGTGACTGCGGTTGCTCTGCGCAGCGCTGTGCTCGCCCGGGACCGGGGCTCGGAGGATGCGGCGTCAGCCCCGTGTCCCATCCTCGCCTCCCCTGCCAGCAGCCGGCACGTGCGGGTAAACAAGAGCACCGCTGTGACACCTATTTGGGGGCAAATTGGTGTCCCCTGGAGGAAGGGGACCCCTGCGCTGGATGCAGAGGTTGCACAGCAGCAGGAGGCTAAAGACGGGAGAAGACAACCCCCAAAGGGGCCGTGGGATGCTCTGGAGCGGGGACAGGAGCTGCACGCCTCCACTCTCAGCTCTCCGCGGGAGCAGCTTTGCCCGCTCTCTCCAACCCGCTTTGACGTGCGTCCCCGTGGCCCCGGCGCGGCTCGGGGAGACCTCAGCCCATCGCTCCCACCGCCCTGACGACTTCAGAGGGTGACAAACGGCTTCGGTGCCAGCCCGAGTTGTGGCAGTGGCAGCCAGGCCACACGCGCGGGCACCTAACGAGGCCACGGCTGCCCCCGCTGCCGGCAGAGGCAAATCAAAGAACAACCGCTCCTCTCTCTCCCGCCGGTGTTTGGAGGCGAAGCGTGTGCCGGCTGTTTTGCGATCAGCCTCAAAATCCGTCACAGTTCCTCGCCCGTGTTTGGACACCCATTTTCAGCAGCCCCTCCGTGTCCCCTCCCTGGTCCCCGTGTGTTTTGGAGCATCCCTGGGAGGACGGCTGGTCCAGGTGTTGCTTTACCCAACACTCACAACCTTCACGGCTCCGAAACTGCTCCCCAAATCCCACTTAAATTTGGTAGCTAAAAGCGTCTCTGCCCACGCAGGCTGGAGCGCCGGGCAGCTCCCTGGGCGAGCTGCAAAAACGAATCATAAATGAAAATTAGAGTGTAAAACACAAGCGCGCCCGCAGCCCCTCCGCGCTCTTCCTCGCTCCCTGAGAGATGAGCTGCTGGTGATGCAGAAACTCCCAAAAGCCGGGAGCAGCCAGAGCGTTCCCCGCCGAGCCCCAGCCTGTCCTGGGGGGTGGCTGAGAGGGGCTGGAGAGGGGGGTTTCACTAAAATTGGGGTTTCCTGCAAAAGCTTTTGCCACCTGCGGCCATCGGGGCCGAGCGGAGCATCGCTCACAGGGTGTCGATGTGTTTGTGGAGCCGCGTAACTCCCAGGTACTCATAGGCGCCTGTAAATTACGGGCTTTTATGGGGGTGTATTTTACAGCGTGGTGTCAGGAGATGTAATGGTGGCATGTATCACTGCCGGGGACGGGGCGCAGCCGGTGCGGGCGCAGCCGGGGGAGAAAAAGGCTGTTTGCAGAGAGCTGCACGGCGGGGAGGGAAACGCCGAGGCAGGAGAGGGCTCTCGGCTCCATCCCTTGCTCCCACACAACTGGTACCCGGCTCCCGAAGGATGCTGCCGGGAGGTGGAGAGCCCCACGGGGATGTGGATGGCCCCGCGGGACTCAGGTGCCCGGCAAGGTCCCGGGGTTGGGCGGTGAGGAGCTGCGGTCCGTGAGCGACGGCAGG